CTATGTATAGGCCAAGCTCCCTTGACAATAATTTCACACACATTTTCACAAACTTACAGACAAGGAATTCTTTGATGTACAGTCTAGTAGGATATGGCCAAAAAAACTTTGTAGTGTATTTAATATGCTTCTAGGTACCATTTTAATTTGATTTGAATTGATTTTAATCTCACCACAATCAAAACAACTCTCAGTCGTTAAATATCCTGTACAAAAGATCATAAGAACTTTTTGAATTCTACCTTATAGCTTCCAGGATGTGGGTAGGGAGTGAAGTGATAGACATCCTGGAGTCAGTATGCACTGTAATCATGAACCTCGGTGTAGTGTTACATGCGCACTTATGGTCACTCACTCACAGCCTGTTGAGGCACATGAATCTTGTAAGCCCCTCCCCCCTTGCTTCTGCCTGGGTTTTCCAGGTAGGTGTGGCTAGAGCAGACAAGACACACATCCCTGGTCAATTGCCAGGAAATACTTAGGAACACCCACACAAATCACTTTCAACGGAATACTGAAGCACATCAGCTTCTTAGGAATACATGGGGGCCCAATGAATTTAAAGTAGCAGCAAAACTTTACTAGTTACAATGTAGATTTGCTCTTTTTCTCTCTCTCACACACACACTCATCCCCACTTATCCACATCTTTCTCAACTAAGCACTAGCTAGAGGGACTGAAGCCCCAAGTCTGGATCCAGGACAATTCAAAGAGTGGGCAGGCTTCAGGACCCCTTTTATCCCCCAAAGTCCTTGCTTTGTTGATTCACAAGTCTGACAGCTACTTTTGCCTTGTTGATTTACAAGTCCTGACATTTCTCCTTTGATTCCTTAATGACTTGCTTCTTTCTTATCTACCTCCCTGGAAGGGGATTTTTAAACAAGATTCATGGCTTTTGTCCTCTCTGCTTACTTCAGATTATAGCAGCTTCAGCCTAGTCTCACAGTAGATTAACTTTTGGTTGTCTATTTTTTCAGTCTATTGTTCTATTGAGGGGCGAAGAAACCAGACTCTGACATAAATACGTTACTCTGAAGCGTAGTGTAATCAAGCCTGAATTTAATGGGCCAGTTGGGGAAAGGGAATGCCCATAACTCTCCCATAAATGTCCATTAAGCCACAAATTACATCATTTGTAGTGATTTACGTAGTTTACAAAATGATGTCATTTCACAAATGATGAAAATCATCATAAATGCCATAAAATTAAGATAAATTTAATTGCCTCATCTAGATTGTCTGCTTCAGATGTAGTTAGCTTTTCTGTTATTTCGGGGGGATATCTGGATAGAAATTTGATCTGTTGCATCCAAAGTCCACTAATGGGAGTTGGTTAAATTGAGGGTTCACTTTATGTATTTAAGAACTAGTCACTTGTTGAAAAGAATAATTTTCTATCTTCCCTTTCCAGGTGGGGCAATGAGAGCAGTCTACTCTTACAGCCCACTCAAAGACACATGGTGCCTTGTGACTCAATTAAATCACGAACGTGCTAGTTGTGGGATTGCTCCTTGCAACAACAAACTGTTCATAACTGGAGGACGAGATGAGAAGAATGATGTCATCGCCACAGTGCTGTGTTGGGATGCAGAGACCCAGAAATTGACAGAAGAATGCATCCTCCCTCGTGGGGTCTCACATCATGGGAGTGTCACTGTGCGGAAATCCTATACATACATCCGTAAGATAGTGCCCGGAGCAATCTCAGTGTAACTTTGAAGGAAGATTCAAGATAAATGAAGAATAAGTGCTCATGAAATACCTCATTTTCTCAAAGGTTTTAAAGAGATTATTGGGATGGAACAATTATGCTGGCGTGGTATATTTTCTCAATTTCCTCCTATATGTGTTAAATTGTCAACATATCTGGACTAGGCATGGGAAAGACAGATGCATCATAGTACGAATACATTTGCACTTCCCAAAATGATATGTGAACCACAATAATATTATCCTTTAGTTATCACATTTCTCTGATTTTGCAGTGCACTTCTCTGGTTTAAAAAGAATGTACTGTATAGAATAATGTGTGCAAAGGGAAAAATTGCATCTAAAAAGAGAGATGCTGGGCAGAATAAGTAGCCTTATGCCCATAGGCACCAATGCACTCATAGATGAAAATGAAGGAAAAAGGGGGAAGCTGACATGCTGCAAATCACTCCAGTTAAGTCCACCAGGCATTCTTAGAAAATAAAATGGGGAATAGCTGGAGCCCAGACTTTTATTTGGAAGTGCCGCCTGTGAACAAACAAAGTCAAGGGTAAATAGGGGTTTGTTGGGAACAATGTTTGCTTTCTGATAAAACTGCTTTGTAACTGCATATATAACATAGCAACTATTTTGTGAATGCACAAGCTGGCCTCCCCCAGCACTATCACCATGACAATTAATTTGTGAGATTACTTCCCAAAAGTCCAGTAGGTCACAGTAGACCAAAAACATAACAATTCAAAAACAAAAAATACAAGCTTGGGAAATAGCTCAATGTAACATTCATGGAAAACATATATAAAAGCCCACATATTATATTTATTCAAAAGGAAGATAACCCTTTTGAATAAATGTAATTGAAGAGCCCCCCCATCCTCTGCCCAACACGGTATAGATAGCAACAAATAAAGAAATGCAGGTAAAAGTCTTGTGCAGTGCCCAGGTTCTCCATCTTGTTACCTAGGGTTGCAAACTCCAGCTTAAATCAATCCTAGAATTCTCCTCCACTTTGAAGTATGCGAATCCATAAAAATATAATAAAACATCCTTAGTACAACTATGAAAATAAACCAACTCCCAGTTACAGATAAACCAATCAATCAAGGGCATCAATTCATGTGTGTGCATATATGTGTGTGCATATCTTTTATATGTGTGTGCATATCTTAGTGGTATATACCTCCCAGAACCCTCCCCCAAGAATAACTGATAAATTAATTGCCTGGTACCCCTTTTACAGAGCACCATCTGCAGTGTCAACTGAAGTGCCAACACAAGCACATTACACTTATACTCCAGGCCCTGCACTGGCTTCCTACTGGTGTCTGAGTGCTACTTTTGACTTTTAAAGCCCTAGGTAGCTTAGCAAGGGAATACTTGCAGGACTGCTTTCCCCAGCTGGTTTCAACAGCCTGACTTGTGTGTCCCAACAGAACCTGCTTGTAGGCCACTTACATGTGATGGCGGGGTGGGGGGTGGGGATCTCAGGCACTGTTTTTCTGTTGGTATGTCTGCTCATTGGGATAGCCTCCTTCCAGAAATTCAATCAGCCCCCACATTGCTGGCTTTCCGTAAGTTACTAAAATCCAAGTTATTTCAGAAAGGGACATGAATTGATGCCCTTGATTGATTGGTTTATCTGTAACTGGGAGTTGGTTTATTTTCATAGTTGTACTAAGGATGTTTTATTATATTTTTATGGATCTGTTGTAAACTGCCAAGAATCACTTTTGATTATAATGAATATAAGTCAAACAAATTTCAACCATGTGAAATTTAACCACAGTGCCCTTCTAGCTAGCAAAGCCAAACTCTGTGAGTTGTGATTCCCTCCACCCCACCTTTGGATATTTGTTTTAATTGTTCTTTTGTCAGCAGTGCTAAGCATTTCACTGAAAGATGTGATAGCATTTCAAATAAATGAAGTTAATATTTGCCATTTTAAGATATTCTTTTCATTTGTCAATAGTCTAAAATTCAAATATGTATCTTTTTTAAGATAAAAAAAGATGTAATGAATATATTTGCTTCTTCATCAAAAGATCAAAGAACAGAAGAACAGAAAGATAGAATAAATGAGAAAGGAGCAGTCATAAAGCCTTACCACTAAGTTTATGACAAAGAACTCGCATATCTACCTCAAGGGATAACTACCGCCCACAGGCATGATATGGCCCCAGTGTTTTACATCATAACCCCATCCAGAGCAGCCCTGCAAACATTAGGAGCACTTGCAGACAACCAGCCTTTCCATTGTTCAAGTACAAGTGGCCTTCATGGCATGTTCTAGTGAGAGAAGAGTATCCGGGTGCCCTGGGGACAGGCATGCACATTTCTTTGGGAAACGACAGCCTTCCTAGAGGACAAACAGCCAGTCCTATCCCATCCCCTTTATGGGATGCCTGCTCCAGAAGCAGACTGCATGGTATTTATTGCTTTTAAACATGGTTGCTTTTATTGTGATGGTTTAAATTAATTTTTAAATTTTTATTGTCCTCTTGTAAATTGCTCTGAGCTTCCCTGGAAGCAAGAAAAGTATAGAAATGAACCAAACTAAAAGTTGCTGCCATGTAAAATGGAGCTGTATCATTTTAATCTGGTACCTTTTTTTCCTTGCCAATGGTTTGCTTGAGAGACTATCAGAGGAAGACTGTGATAAATCTAGACCAAATATTAATGTGCAGCTACATCATCATGACCATAAATGTACGTACTGTTTTGTCAAAGTTGCCTTCCCATTCATAACATACTTCACTTGCAATTTCTATGGAAAATTTGTGATCTTTATTGCATTTACTTGTATTGATGAAACCTTATATTTATTCATTGGTACAATAAGCAGTGTAGGACCTTATTTTCCTAACCTCTCTCCCTCATTAAACCAAAGAAAATGCATCGAATCCATTGCTTTTATCTGCTGCTCCCTTTGCTTTCACATGCAAGACCATTTTCTTTTTCTTTTCGCACCTTCACATGAAGCCCAATAGAGGGCGCCATTATACTATTTTTAGGTCAAATTTTCCTTTCCAGGAAGAAGTGTACAGAACAACAATCCCTTGAATAATTACAAATAATAAAGTGTTGCAACATGATTTCCAGGAAATGCATTACAATGTCAACAAAATTATGCTAAATAGCATGGCTCAAATTTTCATTATTACATTATGCAAGAGCTCTCTTTTATTCTCTCACACACAGAGGTCTTTTTCTTTTTGTCCACCCTATATTTTGCAGATATAATTGCATTTGTTTATTTTTAAATATACATACATACATACCTAATTTTTTTGAAAAATTTAAACACAAGAATAAGACTAATACAAAGTAAAATAGAGCGAAAAAGAAAAACAAGAAAAAACTAAAGGTGCAAAAAGAAAAAGAGTAGCAGAAAAACAGAAAAGAAAGAAAAAAGATATAAAGAAGTGGCTTCCAATCTTCTTTACAGCAGTTATAAG